ATGTACTCTTTACGCTTTAAGCCATGTTATAATGTTGTTTCCTCCTCAAAAACATACCTGGAGTTGTTTGTTTTTTTTTTGTTTTTTTTTTCATTTACATGTTTGAGTAAGCCTGCATTATTTGTCTCTCCATATCCCCAAAGCTTAAAAAACGCAGCTCCTTTTACCTTTTGTTTAGCAGAGATTGGAAATTCCTCGGCTGAAATCATCTAAATGATTACAACGTAGGTACATGAAGTTTAAAAACACAGTGGAGCACTTCTTGTATTACCTCACGACATCACAAGGTGGAACAGAGTGTTTTCAGAGAAGAACTCAGCCTAAAAATATGCAGGGTTTATGTGTAAAACATGTAAGCTAAACAAAACATAGCTCCAGGTATGTTTGTGATGAGAAAACAAAAACTGCGTAATATTGGCCCTTTAAATGTGGGTGACACTGATAAAAATGTATATCTATATTTTTACTACACAAACACAAATTGTCAGATAATATTTGGCAATCAATCAGAAATGTGTCAGAAAATGTGTGGATAAAGTTTAAGTTTTGTCCAAAAAAGGAAAATTAAACACAAGCTTCCTAATAAGGGTTAAGATCTTAAATTTAATCAGTTATTTTTTTTAGCCTTCACATAGATTTCCCTCACACAACAGAAACTTCATATTCAATTTTGCATAATATAGGGCCCTGAAATGGGGTTTTATGACTTGAATGAATCATGAACCAGGTGCAGAGGTGTATCTAAGGAGGAGTGGGAGGAAATAAAAGCACTGTCAAATTTTAATTTAATTTTCTGCAGACCAAGTCATACTTAATTGGTGATTTTTGATAAGATTCCTCCTAACATTATCAAACTTGCAACTGCATGCTATGGAACTTTTCTGGTAAGGGGCCACCACCTACTTGTCTCCATGGAGATGTTATTGCTTGTTTCCGGGAGCATCCCACAATATGGTATTAAAGTGTTTTGATAGAGATAAGTCAGGAATGCCACCAGAGTTACAAGTCAGGGTTGTGGAAAGGTAATGCTGCTCTCATTACTAGAGCCCGACCGATATATCGGTTGGCCGATATTATCGGCCGATATGCTTGCTGATAGGGGCCGATATTTCACGTGGGCATGTTAGACCTCGTTATAAAGTTTAGACTCTCTACATTATGTTCATTTAATCCAATTTACAGACAGATAAATTTTCTAATATGTGGCGCGTCAGTATTTATCTGCGGAGTCATTTGTCTGTGTGTGTCCGTACTGTCCCTGAACACACCCCCAGAGTCACGTGCGTTTGTTTACACCCGCAGACATAGATCCATGTGCGCAACACTGAGATTATATTCTTTTTACGGACAATCGGTTTGAGTCTGGATTAAAAGGACATTTATTAGTGTAGACTTGTGATGTGAGGAGGAGCCTGTGTGAGCGGTGAGTGTTGGAAATGCATCGACTTTGCAGCTAGTTTTGGTTCGTTCTGATAGGTAAGTGATTAGCTGCTGTCGCTCTCACACATAAACAGGCTTTTTTCTTTTGGCCTATTGTAAAGTGACTATATTGGCCGTATATTTGATACTGGACATGCATTGATATGTAAATGAGCTGTGAATAGAGGTATGAATGATGAAATTTGCACATATAATTAATTACCGCAGCACGCAGCATTTACAGCTAAAGGCTAATAGCGACTGTTTATTTACTAGCTAGGCTAGTAGTGATGAGTCGGTCGCGAACGAAGCGGCTCTTAGAGCCGGCTCTTTGAAGCGAACGACGGGATTGGAAGTCGTGTTTTCTCTTTCTCTCACTTTTTTTCTCTTCACGCCGCGTGCAGACTCGTGGTAGTTTGACAGCCGCTAAAAACGAAACTCTCAAAAATATGTTGCCTAAATAAACCCAGTTTAAAAACCACCAGAGCCAAACCTAAGTATTTTTTTTAATAATTCAAGACTTACAGTGAATTTATCCATCACTAAATATATCGGTGATTATATCGGCTATCGGCAGCAACAACTCTCATTATATCGGTATCATATCGGCAACAACAAAATCCATATCGGTCGGGCTCTACTTATTACCACATGTTTTTCAAGATAGTATATATAATTTAATAAAGTCTGGATAGATGTCATGGCTTATTATGGAAAACTGCCAACAAAGAAATAAGATCTCCATGGAGACCTTCACCAGAAAGGTCAAATGGTTCACTTTTAATTCAGTGTTGAATAAAACGTTAGTGTACACAACTAAAGTGCCAGTTTTCAAGTTGTAAACACCATATCTGCATGTTTGTATTGCAACAAGGGTATTTCTTAGGGGTGTGCAAAAATATCGGAGTATCGATATATCGTATCGTTTAATGTGATGATACAGTATCGATATCGTGGGCTACTGTATCGCTATATCACCAAGAGTAATTTTACATGTGTTTTAGTAAATAATTTTGTTACAGTGCTACAGTTTTGTTGCTTGTGGAGTGAAAGGAAACTCATTTATGCAACACATTTGACATTTTGACTCTATTTTGAGGATTAAAATGTTTGTGTTTCATATGAACTACAAGAAGTGGTTTAACAAACACTTTTAGTATCACAGCCATGATTTAGCCTTTATTTTTTATTGAACTATATCGAATCGATTTGAAATATATTATATCGAATCGAAAGTGCACTGTATCGAGATATGTATCGTATCGTGGCCTGTGTATCGAGGTATGTATTGTATCAGCAACTTCTTAATGATACCCAGCCCTAGTATTTCTCTATTTTCATTACATTACTATGAGACATTATTGTTTTTTTTATCAACACACAGTTCCAATATTCAGTTTTCAATGGCTGCAGTTCTGTATGTTCCAGTGTTTTCAGTTGCTATACTCACATCTTCATAGCGATAACATGGCCTTGCTGGAAGTGGAATGGGGTGAATCACTAAAGGAGAAAAAAGAAGAAAAAGAAGACGAGATAGAGGTTAGAAATACTGTTTGATCTTACACATTCATATTCTAAGGATTAATTTAAAGAACTGGCTGTGATCAGAATCTATATTTAAAAGTGCATTATGTAACTGTGTAACTTTTCGGTTGGATGTCCGTCACACGCTTGTTTCTGTGGATACGTCATTGCTCTGCCTGGAATGTTCCACAGTATACCATTTAACAGCTCTACCTTTCAATTACAGGTGGTTTTATTGCTCAAAAATATACCATACGGTTAAACATTCCGGACAAAACAAAAACATCTCCATGAAGAAAAGCATTTGACGGACCCTGCACCAGAAAAGTTACACAATGCACCTTTAAAATCCAGTAAGTTCTGTGATATTCAACATGTTTTACAGACAAGGTTTTATGATAATGTATGACAATGAACAGAGAAAACAACACAATTTTGTCACATGCTTGTCTCCATGGAGATCTTTTTGCTTTGCCTGGAATGTTCCACAGTGTAACATTAAACATATCTATCTTGTTTTTTGTTTTTTGTTTCACATCCATGTATCTTAAGCTTTTGAGCAAACTTAAAACAAGCATTTTTACCATGAGTGAGAGCGCCTCCCCACAGATCTGACCTGTAACTTTGCCCGGTGGCATTACCTGCTAGTCTACATGAAGATAGAACTTGGACAAAGCAAGAACATCTCATTGGAGCCTACACCAGAAAAGTTACATAGCACGCATTAAAGAGATCAATGCTTAATAAGAACATAATTTAATTAGTACAATTGCAGAACTTATGCACCTTAACATTTCTATTATCATATTCATTAAAACGTTGTCTCCTTCTTTATTACCTTATTACGAAAATCAGGCTCAGTGGAGTGCTAAATTGGGACAGCCCCTCTTAGCACAGGCCAGTGAACACATCTGTCAATGAGTGAAACACCAACCCAAAACAAACATGACAGCAGCACGCAGAAGGGCTTTTATTGAGTAAACAGACCACTTGTCACATTGAGGAGATCTGAATACAAATGCAAAAAAGGGTCATGCAAAATATACTTTACAAAATCTAGTAGCCTATTGTCAGTGGTGTGAAGTGTTGAATTGCAAGTTAAAGGGCCCATATTACACTGTTTTCTGATTTATGTTATAATGTTTTCTCATCAAAAACAAACCAGGAGTTGTGTTTTGCGTCATTCACAGATGTTTAACACAAAAATCCAGCATATTTAGGCTGAGTTCTTCTCTCAGACTAAAAACAAGCTCTGTTCCACCTTGTGATGTCATGTGGTAATAGAGGAAATGTGCTTTTAAACTCCATATACTTAATAATTTGGATGATTTTAGCCCTTGTCAAGTGTCATTCTCTTCTGAACAAAGGTAAAAGGAGCTGTTAACTTGAAAACTAACACTTCATGGCATCACAAGGTGGAACAGAGCATTCTCAGCTTTGGAGATGCAAACGGAGTAATAATAATGGGTTACTCAAACATGTTTGAAAGAAACAAAACAAATCTCTAGGTTTGTTTTTGAGG